TAAAGCGCTATATAAATACAGGCCATTTACCATGATCAAGGAAAGTTGGTGTTTGTTCAAACATGGTCAGTGCAATGAAGTAGTGGAAGGTGAGCTTCACAAAAGTTGCTGTTTTTGAAAATAAAATAAGTTGTACTTTACAAGTTGTGCCACGCCAAACCTTAAGAAAATACTTTTGGTGGATCAGTCATTTAGCTCTTTGCATTTACATGAGACAGTGTTTGACTTTGATACTTAACTCCTTCTCAGTCAAATGGCATCAAAATTATTAAGCCTAATTACTGTGTAGCTATGCAGGTTTTCTTTTAGGTGTGACTGATGGTACTACTGTCAGTAAAATTATTGTCCTTGTGTGTCCTAAGGTTGCTGTTGTGGCAGAGATCGGAGGGAGCACTGTTGATGAAGCCACCAGAAGAATGATGGCTTTCATTATGGACAATGCTCTTTCCAGGCAATATAACTTCGTTGGGCGCCATGGAAAGCGGGAATTTCGAGGGCTTAAAATTTTTGAAGTGCTATATGGTAAGCTCATTAGTTTGTAAGATATTTTGTTGATGTTTGAATAACAGATGCTCACTTCAGCTGTAGTCAGTCTTCCAATCAATTTAATCACTGACTTAAGGTTTTTATACTTTGGTTCAACATTTATGTGACATCTTATGCTGTGTCACAGTATAAATATAAGTATGTAACAAAAAAAAGAGAATTACAGCTGTGTCTAGATTCAGTAATAAAGTCTCACTTTCTTGTGGTCAATATCTGTGCTTTACAGGCAGCTTGAAAAAAAATGCTCTTACAAGCCAGATTACCAGAAAAGAGGCAGAAAAGCCAGCATCTAAGTGGTTTATTGGTACAAGAGATAGAGGAGGAAATCGCATGGCAAGGGCTAGGGCTGCTCAATTAATTGAATTTTGCAAATTTGCATCATAGGATTGTTTTTTCGTTTTTCCTGCAGTATATAAAAATTGCTGTATCTCCAAAATAAAACTAGGAAGACACTCAAAATAAATTTCCTGTTGTTGTAAACTATTTTTTGCAACTTTTTTGTATTTAAAGTTTTGAGGAATAAGCCTCTTGAATTTCTCCAAGTAGAAATATATGTAAAAAAAAACCAAAAATGATTTTCAATTTTTTTTGTAGTTTATTGCACTTTTTTGCAATTAATGTAGTTACTATGGACTTAATGCATACATATTATTAAAATATGGGCTATAACAGTTGCATAGCAAATTAAAATGCTCCCACAAATGGCACTACAACATGTAAAAAAATAATAT